GGGGAGGAGCAGAGCCTCCGGCCGCGGCGGCTCTGCTCCTCCCCGACTCTGTTTTAAGAGCCGGGCTGCCCGAGCGCTACCGGCTTCGGGCAGCCCCCATGCCTCCGGACCCTGCGCCGCCGGAGCCCGGGAGGGGAAATGCCCGGCTGGGGGCGCAGGGTCCAGAGGCAAGGGGGCTGCCTGAAGCCCAAGCGCTACCGGCTTCACGGTTTGCCGGGCAGCCTCCAGACCCTGCGCCCCCGGCTGGGCGCTTCCCATCCCGGGCTCCAGCTGCGCTGGGGAAGCACTGGCTGGGGGCGCAGGGTCTGGGGGCTGCCCGGCAAACCGTGAAGCCGGTAGTGCTGAGGCAGCCCTTTCCTCGTGGCTGGGAGTGGGAGGAGGGGGCGGAGTTAGGGCGGGGGGTGGGGTGGGGGTGGAGTTGGGGTGGGGCTGGGCTGGGGGGGTGGGGAAATGAGCGGGGCCAGGGCCCGTGGAGGGTCCTCTTTTTTAATTTGCTGGATATGGTAACCCTAGCAATGTGCAACTGGTTGAGTTTAAGTACAGGCTCTCTCCTAGGATTTATCTTGACCAGTTTAGCGTAGAATTCAAGGCAAACACATGCTAACATCACACCTTTAAACTCCAGTTTAAACAAGGCCTGTTGTAAGATAACTCATGAGAGCATACTAGTTGGAAAGTATGTTTCTTTTTATAGAAATGGGGCAATCTTCAATTATGTTGGAAGTGCACAGTATTAAATCCATATATTCAGAATTTGAAAAAATCTGCTCTTACATAGCAGCTGTTTCATGCATACTCTCTTACTCCAATTACTCATTTAGGTAGAAGGAAATCAAAATGATTATCCACCTTTACTGAAAAAAGATCAATTGCTGCACTTCCCACAGCAATTAAAGATTATAAAATACAGACACAATGCAAAAAGCAGGTAATACCTTTTGAATGCAAAGAGACAGTAGACAGCAGTTTGGGTTTTTGCTTTAAAGAAAGTTTTAATTAGAATTGAATTATGTTTTATAATGCAATATATAAAACATACTGAGGTTTTAACTCCCTGAACTCTGTTTGAGCTCTTTGCTTATTTGTCTCCTTCCCAAACAAGACTGCTATTTTTAACAGCAAAAGTAAGTTTTGAGGTACAATATTAAGATGTACTGTAAGGAGGAGAAACTGTCCAACCAAGTGTACATGGACACCACACTGTTGCTTTGTTCCCCACACCCCAACCTGTGTTAATATATACACACTTTGCATATTCCATTTAAGCCTCTGCATAAAGGCTTTAGCCATTCCCTTAGCAAATGGTCTGAAAGGACATACACAATCTCTAGACATCCCTTCAAAGAAGTGATAGGTTAGGTAACAAAATAAGGAACGTGCTAATCATCACTGCTCAGCCTTTGTGTCTTTTTTTGCATTCCAATCTTGCATTTCAATGTTCAGCTCTTTAAAGCAGGACCTTGTCTTCACACTTGTCACACAGCATTTAACAAACTTATTATTTGATGATAAAAATGAACTCTAACTCTTACTGTATAAAGCTGCAATAATTTGGGCTGCATTGCACTTTTCATACTCCCAAAGCCACTGGCACTGTACTGAGTTAAATGCTGGCAGTGTAGGCCAATTGTGCTGTTAGGCAACAGCTCAGTCTTGACCATTAGAATCAGGTTTTTAATATGAGGAGAATAATGGCCTGGATGCTGCAAATCTCTCATCCTATTTCAGACACTATCAGAAGGAAACCTGTGTCATCATCTCACCAAATGACAGAATGACTGATACTCCAGCATCTCTTCCATTAATAATCTCCAACATCAGCAGTGGGCAAGTGCATTTAGTAACCCACGAAGAAAAAGCCATAAAGTCAAATACAAGTCTTGCAAAAAACATCGGAAAACTATTTCTCTTTGAATGCATGGACAGTTAATTTTTCATATAGGATCACAGTGTAACAATCAGTAAGAATGAAATATAGAAATGGATTTATTAAATAATTTGGATAAAACTGATCTTTGAGGTTTTCTTTTGAAACAGTTGAGAAATTATCCAGCTATAACTTAAAATTTCCTCTCCCACATAAATGGTCAAAATGAAATTTGCTTTTACTATACAGGCTACTTTATCCAGCTTTTGAAGTGCTGACCCCAACCCTTTTCTATTTCTCTCTTGCTCCTCTGCTCATCTGGCTTCATTATTAGGGGTTTGAAAAGGCAGGAAAACTGCATCTCCACTCCCTCTGTTTGCCATTAGCAGGACATTTATCTATTGCCCCCTGCCCCCCTTCTTGCAGCCAGCCCCCTCCACCAGCTTTTTCGGTATCACTGACCTGTGATCCGCAAATGATTCATTGTTCTCAGCATTAAGGGTTCCAGCTGTAGCAAACATGATAGTTGTGTCCAGATCTGCAATTATCCCCGACACAGCACTGGCTGCAGTGATACAAGCCTGAGTACCTTTGTTTCCTGCTTGAAGGGCAGACAGAACTAAGGAAACCTGGAAACAGGAAAATAAAAAAGAGGGTCACATTAAAACAAAGCATAATGAACTGATTTCTGAGTTAAACTAACTCCTGTGATGAGAATCAACAGGTGCAATTCATTTTGTGATCTCATTTCACAATCTACGATAAACCTCTCCCTTTCCCTTCCCTTGCCTGCTCTATCTGCACATTAGCAGGTTTGATTAGTTTTTCCATAGAAGGAAGCCTGCTATTGGCATTTGTCTTTCACAGTAGGAAAAGGCTGTCTCCTGATCAAGCAGGATACACAATAAATGAACGGATCACGGAGGCCTTAACTGCATCTGCTCTGCATATAAATAATGACACTCTGCAATCAATAGTGTAACCACTCATCTTCCATAATATCTAAATGAAAGGAAAAACTTCCCCCAGCTACAATAAATAAGAATTCCAATTATCCTACAGTACTCTGCACAGGCAATAAAGGAGGTTGGTGCATTTATTTCAGTGTCACAATTACTTTTCAGCCATCTATGGTGCTGCCCAGTAACGTGATCACAAGGATGACTGAAGCTCTTGGCAACTCAACTTTGTCATGAAGCTTGTTTAAAAGACAAATCGGTGCTGTCCCACACTACACAGCTCTTCTAACTGACAACTGTTAAATCAAGACTGGATTTTTTTTTTTACAAGATCTGCTCTATGAATTATTTGGGGGAAAGTCTATGACTTGTGTTATGCAAGAGGTCAGACTAGATGATCCCAACGATCCCTTTTGAGTCTATGAAACAACAAGGGACATCTTACCTTTTCAGTGACAGCACGAGCACATTCTATCAACTCCCTCTTGGTGTAGCTGTCCGTAGGGCAAATCTGTAGAGCTCCAGCTTTCTGTACTAGAAAGATACATCCATGACCAAGATCCTGTACCCGAGTCCTGATCTGGAACCCTATCTAGATAGGCAACAAATTATGGGGAAGAGGAGACAGGAGACACAGAAGGTGCTTAGAATGTTGAGGCTTTGTATAAATGGAAACATTGTAAAACTCACACAATTTTTGTTGCAAATACTTGCCCACCAGTACAGTTCCTGCAAAGATCAGAAATAAGGGCCAGATTCTGACATCCCTTACTCATGCTAAGTAGCATCTTAATCCACACGTGATCCCCTCAACTTCAATGGGACTACTCATGAAGGAGGAATACTATTTTACCTGAGTTAAGGGATCAGAATCTGGACATGTCTTATATGATTAGCATAGGGAATTTACCCAAGTCTAATTTAGGTATTTCTAAAAGATAGTAGAAACAACACAAAAATGTGTACATCTCCGTGCTGTAATATTTCATTGCCCAAGGTATAAAGCAAAAATGAACTGCTTGTTCTCAGGGTGAGCTGACCTCAAGGCATACAGGCTCCTCCTCCACTCTGATCAAACTAGGTTGAGGAGTATGTAAGCTTAGTTCTGAGTACCTCAATTTCATTCACAGATGAATCTAGCACAAGTTCTTGGATATTCATTTATTCTCCAATACTTAGCACATCCCTATAAAATAGCCAAACCTATACATACCTCTAAATGCATCACTATTTCAGATTTACTATTAATCTTGAAATGGAGTTGAGCAGTGTGGTCTGAGAAATACGAACCAATGCTAGTTTTAGTACTGCTACATACCTTTACATATAATTGTGTTTGTATTTTGGTTAATACGTAAGTAGGAATTGCAGCTATTAGTTTCAATAATGAAATTATTTCTACTTAAAGCTGACGTTAATGTGCACTATTTTCATAAATGAATGTTCATTATGTCTAACAGTACCCATGATTAATAGAAGCCATTGACTTAGCTATTCAGCACCAAGAATATTTAAAAAAACTCAAGTGAACTGTCAGTGGGGAGGTGTAATAAATAAGTCAAAAGCTGTTTGAAGGTCTTTTGTCTTGATAATCTGATACTGTAACTGGCCAATGGAGCTAAACACCAACAGTCTAAGAATCAATAGGGAAAAAGCAGTCATCTTCACTGATTCAAAGATTTTTAATCATGCCTTGAGTACCATACACATGATGGAGAAAGAGGACAACGACCATTCCCTTCCTCTGATTATCTCTCTGAATCTCCCTCTCAGGGCAGTATGGTATATGTCAGCGGTTCTCAAACAGTGGGTTGGGACCCCATTTTAATGGGGTTGCCAGGGCTGGCTTAGACTTGCTGGAGCCTGGGGCCAAAGCTGAAGCCTGAGCCCCGCCACCCAGGGCCGAAGACAAAGCCAGAGAGCTTCAGCTCTGGGCGGCAGGGCTCAAGTTACAGGCCCCCTGCCTGTGGCTGAAGCCGTTGGGCTTCGGCTTTGGTCCCCCGGCCTGGGACGACACAGCTTGCGCTTTGGCCTCCCCACCCGGGATAGTGGGGCTCAGGCTTTGGTCTTCCCTCCTGGGGTCCTGTATTAATTTTTGTTGTCAGAAAAAGGGTCGCAGTGCAATGAAGTTTGAGAACCCCTGGTATATGTGAAACAGTTTGAGGAGAGGAGAAAAAAAGTATATTTATGTGATTCATCAAATCATGAGACAGTGGGAAATGATCTGTAGTGAATAACTAGAGAAATGTCTCCAATTTTCTGTTTCCAGGTTGCCTGCAAGCAGTTGGAAACTTTCCAGTTATTCTGAAGAACAGTTCTTGTCTGTGGAGTGTTGCAAGCAATTTGTTTCAAATATCTGATGACTGACGTTGAGTTGTTGTTCATGCTTGATTGGATGTTTCTGTCCTCTGACTTGGTGAGCAACTCCTATAATTTGGCTTGTGATGTGAACATGCACACTTTTAGAAATTAAAAGCTTACTTTTTTGGCCTCTAATATTTGCTAATTTGTAACATTCCTAACAGAAAACTAGTGCCCGAGACATTTCACAAAAAGTGAGATAAAAAGGGATAAGAACGGTAGAAACAAACTTGTTTAAAAACTTAAATATTAATAGAAAATGTTTTGCTGTATTCTGCAGCTCTTCATTCACATACACTTTGCATGAGCAATGCTGCAACAGAATGGATGTTACAGCCTACATGTATATATACATACACAGTATTGTGCCAGGCTGTGTCTGTATTGTAAATAAATATCTAACTACAGATGTTTTTCACAAGTGGTCATATACCACAGTAGTGAAAGTGGTGCAAAATGGGTAGATTAGATAGCCTACGTAAGATATATAGGGACTGTAATGGCAAACAGTGGCTGACTTATGATTCAACTGTGATGAAAACGAAGATGGCAATATTTTGGACTTTATGCCAAGAAGATGGAATGTAAACATTTTCTACTAGTTCCCCCTTCCCTTCAGAAAAAATAATAGCATTAAAGCTTTTATCTAGTTGTGTGTGCGGTATGCTTGAATCCATTCTTTTTAAAAGGTACTGATAGAGCGCTAAGACAGATAGGCCCAAACATGAAATCTGTGGAAGAGAGAGAGGTTTGAGTACAGATCTCCAGATCTGAAACCATGGAATAGGGCCTATAATGCAATGTTAGGCCTAGGTGGAATCCTTCTGAAAACCCCACCCCATGTGTCTTACTACCTAATATTTCCAGTGTCAACGGGATAGAGACTGTCTTCCTACATGTTGGACAAACAGATGGTTGACAAGACTGAAGTACAGTAAACAGAATTTTCCTGTCTGGGAAAATATTTACTGTATTAATTTTAAATGATCTCAGAAATGTTTCAGAGAAAACACCCCTACTACCAGAAGGTTGTAACCCTATTTTTTATTTGACTGCACAAGAGAAGACTCAAACTTGGGGATAACTGCAGCTGCATTATAGCAACTGGGTGGCCTACTGTCTTTGGTTATCGTACCCCATTTCCCCCCCTATTTTAAAGTGCAAGAGAATACTTAATGTTGACACCACTGTGCATTCAGAGTTTAGAGGTCTAAAAACTGCAGACCTCCTCTGGTTCAGCTGTAGCTGCTGCCATTCGGCCCTGGAGAGCCAAATGCCCATAGTCATTGGTCATTTGTGATGCAAGTCCTCCCAACTCCTCCGGGTTAGTAACCGACTTAGTCATCTGAAAAAAGAAAACAAGCAATAAAACAATGACAGGCATAAAACCAGCTTGTTAATACTCCACACTGCCTAGAAGCACACAAGTATGTTTTTGCAGCACCGGTGATAGGGTACCTGTTGCTGTCTTAGCAATTCAGTTTCCAGCTAGAATTCTATGAGCCGAAAAGACAAGCAAACATGCTTTATTAGAACCACAGTAACTAGGCACCCACAGAACACAAAGTAACTGAGGTGCAGTTAGAAATGGAAATTCACTCCTCAGTACAGTAGATGACTGCAGAAGTACTCAATACTCTCAGCTTTAGTAGGTGAATTTGGGGAGGAGAAGAAAGGGGAGAAGAGTGCTTCACACTGCACAACAGCGGCCCCCTCCATTTGGCACTGATGGGCTAAGCAACTCACTCTCTTCTAGACCCTCCTCAGCCCCACTGATGGTCACCATGATGTGGAATGGAAAGATCTTAAGTGGATCCTAAGACTCTCAGAACATGCAAGACCTCTGGGGCAAGAAGGAAATGGCTGGAAATGTACAAAACGAAGAGTTTCTGATTTGGGAGCACAAAAAGTGAAACTTTTCCTGGAATATTTGCCAACTCTGTGAAGGTGACATTGTTCCATTTCTGCTTGAGAAAACAGGTGAAACGAGTGACATTCCAGCCTTTGGATAAAATCATAAACTGGACTTAGACAAATTCCTAATGTGCATGGAGAAGGGCTAACTGCAATCTGTTGAAATGACAACTCACTACAGTACCTGCAAAGATTCTCTCTCTCTCTTTTTTTTTGGCAAAACCTAATTTTTTTTTTTTTTGCACAGCAATGTAGAGGTTTTTTTTGGTAGCATGCAATAATATTATCCTTATATTTAAAAAAGGCAGAGTATTCTTTACTAATGGATTAATACAGTTTATTATATTAACCATTAGTATGAATCAAGAAAGGACCTAATTAGCCAAAGATCCCGCCCCACTTCATTTTATGCCCAAGTGAATCACATCACCAGGAATTCTGTGAGAGAAAACAAGGATTTGACCATTGCTCATTTCATGAATTTAACGATTGTCTTGCAAGGTTTGATCTCAATTAAGGGATAAAGTTAAAGAATAATTAAATATCACACCCCAAAGGGCTAATGTAGGTCAGCAAGAAACTTATGCTAGGACAAGATTCCAATGATTTGAAGGGTTGATTAAAGCAGTTTCAACACATACCTTCATTTGTTTCTCACAAAAAGTAAGCCTCATGAGACGTACTTGACATCACATTCCACTAATATATACATCTCAAGCCAAAGAAGCCGTTAACACAGACTTCCAAATTCGATGGCTTTTCCCATTACAGTAGGAGGAATATAGCCACTCAATTTTTAAATTGTAAAACTGGCTAGACAAGTCTGTTTTAAACCAGCTGTGGTGTGTTAACAGACTGCTTCACAATCAAATTAATGAAATGAATTGGTTGGTCTTAGTTCAGCCTCTAATGGAAAGAAATCCTCCGCCATAAAATGTTCTGGTACAGTCAAACCATTGTTTCAAGGCAGGTTCAAGTAACAGACCAGCTCAAGTATTATTCTCTTGATGGGAGTATAAATCATATCAACGTCTACAACAGTCTAAATCAGCTAGGCCCAAGACAGATCAATAATGACACGGTGGACAGAGTTTTGTACTACTGCTATTCCTAATGTCATTCTCTCCCCAGTAATCAGCATAACTTCCTTTTTGCTTCACTTCATTTGTTCCTGAACGCTATATTTCTACCCCATTCCCTCCACCCTCTTCCTCATGGAGGCATCTCTTTTGGTTACTGTCAAGTTCCAGCACATGCCTCCTAAGGTGTTCTCTCCTGTTTTCACAGCTTGTTCTTTTGGGCAGCAAGGTAAAGAGAACAGCATATATTCTTTAAAGCCCCGTACTTTGAGTTGAGAGAGATCGCACTCCTGTCCATCATACAATCAAGTTCCAATGAAGAAGTCCAGGAAATGGTGTCAACACCCTTATTTTGCCTACCCTCAAAACAGATCAACTGGAAATCAATGTCACAAAGAAAAGGCTCCAGTCGGAATTGGTTCAGATTAACACTGTACAGCGGTTTGAATTTCTTACACATACTCTATAGTTGTTACCCAGCTATTTTATAGAACACTTGCTAGTTTCTCTTACCATTTCCTGTGCTGTTACAGCAATGGCTTTAGAATATTTCACTACCGTAGTTTGATAATCAACAAATGTTCCCTTTGGATCTGGAGGTGTGCCCTCATCCAGCTGTGGAGAGAGGGGAAAACATGAAAGCAATGACAGGCACGAAGGACTCACATATTACTAAACTTTTCAGTCTAGTACTGCAATTGCACAACACAAAGTTAAATACAAAATGAGCTCAAATGTACAGTAAAGCTTCATAGCTTACATCACTAATTTCATGTCATTTGTATAGAATATGCAGTTTAGTGCCCACATATTTAGCAAGTCCTGACTTTCTTCCCAAGTTCACTTTTTCTTTTTTTTTTTCTTTCAGTTTCCCTGACCTGCAGCCCATTAGATCTAAAAATGAATGTACAATGATCACAAGACAGATCTTTCACCCGATTAGTCGCTATAACATTCCTTTAGGCCATGCCATAAAACGTTCCATTCTGCATACCACTCAGCCACCAAAATGCCAGAGACTGAGTAAAATTAAACATGAAGCCTAGTATAAATAAGATTGTTTAAATTTTTTTTTTTAGCAAGAGATGATGGAAAATGTATTTGCTTAATAAGCTAAACTTCCCCTACCTTCCTTTTGAGACTAGCATACTCCCAGTTTACTAGTTATGTTTTTCTCAGCGAGACTTGCTAATTATCTTAGGTAAAGACTCTTCAGACGTGGCTTCCTCCACTGTGTTCCTCAAGTTCATCTTATTTTCCCCGCCATTAACTAAAACCAGACTAACTTGTTTTAGAAGACAACATGACAGAAAATATTGCCCAGGATTTATAGGACTACTATATGCATTTTTGCCACAAAAGGTAGTACCCTAGACAAGACAATAAAGATTACAGTTTTGAGACACTCCCCTTCAAGGGAAGATAATTGCTAACCCATCCTTCTGATTTCTCTTCCTAGAAAGCCCCACATACTTGGTTGCTATGCAACAGCTTTCAACTTGTTATTCTGTGTTAAAATTGGCAAACTCCTCTACATATGGATATGCAACCAGAGCGTCATTCAAGAAAAATTGGGGGGAAAAGGGGAGGGAGATGTTTTAGCACAAAGAACATTATATGGGATATTATATCCTGAAAAGTTGAATGTGTGTGAGTGAGCATGCAAGAAGTGAAAAACATAATGGAAGACATAGTCTGATGAAAAGCCTGGCCAAGGGGAAGGGAAATAACTGCCCATTTTTCCCCATAGCAAATGACCACTGATGTATTAGTTAGGTTTTGTTTTCTCTTTGACCTTCATATACTTCATTCAAGTGTAAGCTTCAATTCTTTGGTTCAAAATGAACAAGCGAATGAGGAATCTGAATGAAGCGTTAATCATTAATAAAGTTCCTAGGGAAGTTACTCCTAATCTCAAAATTCTGAAATGGCAGAGTTTTGTACCAGCAATGTTTACCACATTCAACTTGCCCTCAGAACCAACTCCTAGTTGTGAAGAGTCTTCCAAGAGGGGAAAAACATATTAAACTGGGGGGGGAGGGGCGACTTTCATAAGAGAAGACTTGATACAAACCTTGGCATATAGAAAGGAAGTTCTTAACACATAGAGATAAAAATGATCAAAGCAAAAATTGAAAATTACAATGCTAACTTCATTTAAAGCAGATGCAGTCTAAAATGACTCTCCTCTATGCAATTAAATCAAGCAGCCCAGCACTATGTCTCCAGCCAACTGAAGCACTGGGACCATGCCATCAACCAGTACACAGAGATATCTGAAAACAATTATTTCCTCTTTAGAACATACTTTCTTGTTTCTTTGAATATCAGAAATGTTTCTATCACCTGTCATTTCAGGAACTTGTTATGTATATTGTTATCTTTATCAAATAAGACAAAACAAGTCCTAGTCTAAGACTGTTGTCAGAAGGGAGAGTCACTTAATGAGGAAAAAAACATATGTTGTAATGCTAAACCAATACTACTCCAGTGGTATTACAAGGCGGTTTAACTCATTTGCAAAACCAAATAATTGACATTTCTAATTTTTGATTGTTTTCTTAAATACTGGCACACCACTCAATGGAATAGGTCTCCAAAATAATCCTATCCCACCAGTGCTAACAAAAGGTAATGATTTTGTGTCTATTGAAAATGCAAGTTCCATCATGTGCATCAGTACTATTTTGCAATTAATGCTAACTGTCTCCTAGTTTTATGGTTTCATATGGTAGGGTTTGTTGTGATTGCTGGACCTACAAAGTCACCCTAACCTCAACTGTAAAAAGCATGTGAAAGTTTGTAAGATGTTACAATAACCATGAAAAACTGGTCATTCTGTTTACAATACTGAATGTTTTAAAGAGGTGCAAGAGAATGAAACAGAGAAACTGGATTAGTCTAAACAAAAAAGGCCATGTCGATATAATCCAAGTATTGCTGAAATTATACTTGTTAAAAACAGATGATGTGGAGCTGGAAGTTAATGTAACAAAATGAGTGAGACAGATATTAGGTCTAATTGGTGGATAAAATAATGATGTGGATGAACTATGCCACCCACTTTTCCCCTTTTTTGGGTTATTAAAAAAGTGACTTTGAAAAAAACATTCTCTCTCTCATCCGCAGCCCACTTTGCATCCCAGCTCATCTTGTCTCACCGCATCTTCCCTGATCCCCAGACAGAAGGAGTAAACCGGACTGAAGGACTTTCTTCCACAAGGAAGGCAGGCTGGCCTTGCTCTTGTTTAAGTAACTTTGTTTTCACCCGTGAGTGCTGAAAGCCATCATATTATCATGATATCCAGTCCTCAGCCAACCCAGGAGAATATCTAATTACCAGCACTGCAAAGCCACATAGGATCCTGTATTGCATCCCCTTGTTGTGTTATTTTCTGTCCTACTATTTTGTTCCTCCAATCCTATCTCACTCTCCTGGCTTTGCATCAAATCCTGAAGTCAATCATACTGCATTCAACCAAACCTGTCTTGTCTAAAGAGAAAAGATGCCACCAAATGATGGCCCTGACCAGATTGTAACTAACTAGGGTCCAAGCAGCAGATCTCATGGTTGCCTTGCCGGCCAAAACATCCACTCGTAACTAATCAGTGTTCCAGAAACATCAATCAAAGCCTATTTCACCCCTCTTTTCTATCCTGTCACTCCTTCACCTTGTATCTGTTTGTTAAGAACAGGATAAGTGAATGCTCTTCAGATCAGGACTAAGAGTAAAATTAACCTTTTCCTTTTCATCTCTGAAAATAAGAGACACTGATATTTTGACTCCAAAAGGAGAGAGAGGCTTTGATAAGGTCTGATTAAGTTTGTTTGCATAATCACTCAAACACAGTTTCAATACAAATGCTTGTTTTTCTTTCTTGTGTTTAATCAATAAACTTTCAACCTGAATGAATGCTTTTTGGGTGTTTGCCATGTAACTGAGTAAAAGCAAGGGCTTTGTTTAAAAATCACACCCAACCCACCTCTTACTGTTTAATGCAGTCAAGTATCAGGGGGTAGCCCTGTTAGTCTGTATCTACAAAAACAACAAGGAGTCTGGTGGCACCTTAAAGACTAACAGATTTATTTGGGCATAAGCTTTCGTGAGTAAAAAACCTCACTTCTTTGGATGCATCCGAAGAAGTGAGGTTTTTTACTCACGAAAGCTTATGGCCCAAATAAATCTGTTAGTCTTTAAGGTGCCACCAGACTCCTTGTTGTTTAATGCAGGTTAGTGAAAGAATTTAGAAACACTTTTAACTCTTCAGGCCTTTATGATCAATATCAAAACATGTTCCATCAGCACAGAAAGCTGAACTGACTTAGCACTGGCCATTTAAGGAACATTTAGCATCTGGCTCTCTGAACTACTTCAGTGGTATAATGGAACATACATTAAATGTTAAGCAATTGTTGCCAGTATCATCTAGGATAACCATTAATTTCCTTCCATGTAATTTGGGGTTGCTAGGTACCAAATACTCACCTTGCTCATGGCCTCAGCTATTGAGTCTACCATACCTCCAACCATGCCCACTTCACTGGCAGCTTCATTCAGTGTAACCATTATATCATCCACTGCCTCCTTCATCAGCTGAGCAGCCTCTGTGATTGCATCATGAGTGTGAGATGCCTGTAGAGGGGAGAGTAAGAGAGGAGATGAAGAACTCATCTGTGCAGGAGTAGTCATTTGGTCTGCAAATAATGCTTATTATGGCAGCACCTTGTGGTGGTTTTAACCATGCCTCTTTGAAAATCTCATTTCAAGCTAAACAGGAAAGAGACTGATTCATGATACATATCAATCTCATATGAACGAGAATGCCCCTTTAAATAAGAGCATGCCTCACTCACTCAATATACCCTAAATTCAGAGCAGTTTAAAACAGAACAAGCCCTTTTCCGTGACAACAGATTAAGGAAAACGATCACCATGTAAATGCAGTGGAAATAAAGCTAAAGAAAGGCAACAGATCATTCCCGTTTTAAACCGATTTAGAAAAGGCCTGGTCATAAATGGTAGCTGTATGGGTCAAACGTGCTTAATCTTTACCGATTATGTACCTGAGGAAAGCAATGGAGACCACTCAGCAGGGATACTTTTAAACATTTAGGACATTGAAAACTGCACTGCTAAGGTCCCTGCCAGAAAGGAAGTAGAGCACCTAGTCTTTCAATATAGCCTGTTTACACCACTCAACTTGAAAATCAGATTAAAGCATAAGCAGAAAGAAAGAACATTTTGCACATACTGGGTTTGGAAAGCATCCCACACATGTGCAATTACCAAAGCACTAGGTAGGAATTAAGACTCTTGAGAGATTCTTCCATAGCCATCTTTCTTGACACAGGTAATTAATCCAGAGTTCTGTAATCAAAAACCTTCATCTCATATGATCAGGGTCTACATCAACAAGCTCATTTGCTATTCAATTGAACCATATAATCAGTGAAAACAGAAAATCCAGGTAGAAACACATTTTTGTTTTTACACAAAGAACTCAAGAAAATAAGAGAAGCAATGGGAAGGAGAACATGCTCTCCTTTAATGTGGGCATTTCTAAATTTCATTTTTCTATAGCATCTCCAGCACAGAGCAGGATTACATGCTTTTCAGTCACTTATAAATTGAAGAGAAACAGGAAGTTTTAAGGCAAGACTTAAACAACGGAAGTGACTCTGGGTCAGATTTTGCTCAGTTATATTTATTATCACTGTGATATCAGACTGGCCCACAGTGTTTCACTTGTTTCAGATGGGTAAATATTTAGCATGTGTGTAATGTTTTCCACCTTTAAGTATTGCTGAAGCACTGACTACATTAATCCTCTCAATATCCTGCGAGGGAGGCATTACCCCAGTTTTAGAAGTGAAGCAGAGAGATGAAGTAACTTGTCCTGCATCACAGTGGTAAGAGCAAGAACAACAATCAAGAGTTCTTAGCTTCCGGGTTTCCTAAGACTACACCTCAAACATTTTAGCTAAAAATGATCACTACAAGAGCCAGCCATCAGTGCAGAGATAAATGGAAGAACCTAGACCTAGTGGGTGCAGAGTCAGAGGATGAGCAATAAATAGCTGTTTTTGAGTTGAGAAAGTGGAGACATACAAGGTAACTTAAAACACAATTTAACATTGCCTCCTACTTTTCAGAGCTGGCTAGGGAGACACTAAAAATCAATGAGGAATTTGAATTTAGTACCAATACAATCCTACAGGGAGATGTACAGTCAAGGGATGTGGGAAAGAATAAAAGCCAGAGCCAAAGATCACTCCAAGGTTTCTGGTCTTGGGAGCTAATTTAGATGTTTGAGGTAAGGTGAGTGAGAGAGCGAGCATGCAACACACACAAAATCTTTTACCAAGGAGAAATTCAGTGAGAGTTTAAGTTATAGCCAGGAGTTGATAGAGTGAAGACAGCCAAGATAAAGCCAAGCCTTAAGCTAGCAACAAGGTGACCTAGCGGGCTAAAAGAAATATAGAAGAGAGCTGGGGATAATGCCTGGAGCACTCCCCACACCCTGGAAATTGTAAAGCTTCAACCAAAGGTGGAAGATGAGCAGTTAAAAGGGGAGGTTTCAAACCAAGAGAGGGAGGGAAGGGGACAAAAATGATTCCTTGCTCAAGGTACCCAAGGTTTATAGCAGGGGTAGGCAACCTATGGCACATGTGCCAAAGGTGGCACGCGAGCTGATTTTCAGTGGCACTCTTACTGCCTGGGTCCTGGCCACCGGTACAGGGGTTCTGCATTTTAATTTAACTTTAAATGAAGCTTCTTAAACATTTTAAAAACCTTATTTACTTTACATACAACAATAGTTTAGTTGTATATTATAGACTTATAGAAAGAGACCTTCTAAAAACATTAAAATGTATTACTGGCACGTGAAATCTTAAATTAGAGTGAATAAATGAAGACTCGGCACATCACTTCTGAAAGGTTGCCAGCCCCTGGTTTATAGTATAGGCCACACTGAGGTCAAGTATAGTTGATGAAGAGGACCCAATACACTTTAAATTATCTTGGTTCAAAACACCTTAGGTAATAGTCAGGGCAGGACAGGCAAAAGAAATATTTCAGAGAAACTCCTTACTAACCTCATTCTTCAACACTGTTGGATCATCTACTGCAGGGGTCTCAAACACGCGGCCCGCAGAGTTATTTCCTGCAGCCTGCCATAGGTGCCAACTTCGTGGGTGCTCCGGGGCTGGAGCACCCACGGGGAAAAATGAGTGGGTGCTCTGCACCCACCGGCAGCCAAGCTCCCCTTCCCCACCTACTCCCAGCGCGCCACGTCCATGCCCCTCCGCCTATCTCCCAGCGCTTCCCGCTGCCAATCAGCTGTTTGGCGGCACTTAGGACTTTCCAGGAGGGAGGGGGGAGGAGCAAGGATGCAACACGGTCAGGGGAGGAGGCGGAGAAGAGGCAGGGCCGGGGCGGGGATTTGGGGAAGGGGTTGGAATAAGGGCAGGGAGGGGGCGGAGACTTTGGGGAAGGGGTTGGAATGGGGGCGGGGAAAGAGTGGGAAGAGGTGTGGTGGGGCAGGGCCTCATGGAAGGGGTGGAGTGGGGGTTTTGCAGTCTGTTACCAACCAATTTTGAAGTTCTCAGCTACTTTGATGTGACAATTGATGTACAACTACAGAAAGGTGTGTATCTCTGCTGTGCCAAGCGTACTAGACCATTGTGATATCAGAGATAACTCAACCAACCAATCACCACCCTTACTCAATAGCTAATTTGCATGCTACAATTTCATTGGTTGTATGATGGAGACTTCACAGATGGTAGATTACTTGGCCCGACTGCCACACCCTTGTGCCTAGCTGCCACCTCATATATCAGCATAACCACCTACACAACAACACAACCAGCAAGTCCAAATACAGACAGCCCATCACCCCAGTACACACCCCTTATTTGCCACCGACACAAATCAACCAAAATCTCCCAGCACAACACAACCCAGGCACAAATCAACACAGCTTCCCATAACAACACACATTTGCCCACCCTCACTCATACTTACCATAAACTTGAGTGGCTAAGTGGCAAGTCCTTTGCTAGTAAGCATATATTGGGCTACTGTGACAACGCAATAAAAGTCAGTAGAAAAATCACTGTAAGATGCTATACAATTTAAGGGTGTAGAAAAAAGGTATATATTATATGAAAAACAGTACATGGCCCTGTAATTAAAAGATTACATGATAACATAGTCTCAAAGGGGCAGAGAAAAAGTTGTGTGTGCAACCCTAATTTTGGCACATGTGCTCAACTGTGCAGTCTTAACATTCTCTTAGTGTAGTTTTTTGTATGGAATGTGTTACAATTTGCAAGCAACACTGAGATTGGTTTCGTCTCAGGATATCAAACCTAATATTGATGCTCTGGTTGATGCAAAACACTGCCAGCAAAACGGCCAAAAATGAAATGACTGTCAAAATTTAGCACTGACTTTTCGCATTACAGTTTTAAAAAAGTTAATACATTGACTTTTAATAGCATACTACATTTTTACTCTTCATTTTTTACTATACTTTTGTATCGTTGTATGAAAAGGTGTCAGTGATGCGGCCCTCGGGCCAATGTACTAGTCCTCATGTGGCCCTCGTGGTGATTTGCGTTTGAGATCCCTAATCTACTGCTTTGAGAAATTTGACTGACAAATTAAGAAAATGAGAGCAATTAACTATTAGATTTAATAAAAGTATGTTATAACAGTTCAGCATGTTTTAGAAACAGCATTAACTGGGTTGAATGTGCTTTGGACCAGATTATTGTCAGAACCCAAAAAAGACTCAAAATGTGAACTACAAAAAAGGGACTACATTTTCCTGATCACCTACTTTGACCAGCTCTACTTCATATAGTGTATCAGATGAGTAACTCACACAACCCATCGCTATTATAAACAGCTTAATGTATATGCTTGTGATGAGGCATAGCAATATGCCTGTTGATCTACTGCTAATACAGGGACCAAAGGGAATGAGCTAGTCCTTCTTGGCCATGCAATCCTTTCAGCTGAATCCACATTATTTTTTTTCCTCCAGTTTGAGATATTTTCCAGAGACCTGTACACCTTGAATTTTCAACTCTCCCAACCCAAACATACTAGCTGAAGCTGGCAGAAATACCAATACCTCCTTACAAAGCACGCATAAATGAATTGTGCTCTCATCTCCTCTTCATGCACTCTCTTAATTCCTGGGAAAGCTAATGGCATTGGTAAAAATGTTTCAAGGGAAAATATAACTCTCCGCTTCCCCCAAACAGCCCAAAGATAATGAAGCAATTTCTTTTACATAAACGGAATGAGGTGACAAAGTTTGATTTTTGAACGTAAGCATAATAGCTCAGATGATTTGGTTAAATCCAGTGAGGAGCTTCATGCATATGTAGTTCAGCCTTCAACCTCCACCATTTCCCTTTGCATTTTTGCTGGTATCATCTTCCTTCCTGTGCTTCAGTTATATTTAGGCAAACCTTCAGTGACAGATACAACATCTAAGTATTGTGCACACTGAAGAGATTTAGCATCTTGTAGGGATATAAAACAACTAAAAATATATAAAATTTAAAGCTGAAAGCTCTGCTTGGTTTGAATGACTCATCAGACAGCAGTTCCTTATTTATTACATTTGTTCCTCCTCTGTATTTCATTTCAGTGACGCAACAAGCTTCAGAAAAGATTTCCTTGTCAGGCATCTTCAGAACAGATGGAACCATCTTTGTTCACTCTACTACACAAATGTAAACTGAGCAGCCAAGCGCAGGCAGCAGAAAGGATAAACAATGGCTGCATTGATCAGAAGTCTTTTCCAGGCTACACAATAGACTTGGGTGAGTGTGGCAAAGTAAAGTATAAAAGCCTATGTATGCAAGTATTGGCTCACCTGGAGGCACTGCATGGGATATGCTCAAGCTAATGCAGTATTTTTTTAAGCATTAAATTCTAAATTAACTCTTGCAGGAGTCCTTAAATATCAGCCCTGATGTTCCTTGGTATTGCCAACAATCGAGGATACAGCATTTGTATTTCCCTATCATCTCTGCCCTATCCTAGGTCTGTGATACTGCATTATTCGATGTCAATAAGGATACCCAATTTATTAATCGAGAAGAAGTGGAGGACGGGAATGAAGGAAGTCAGTGTTTACTGAACAAGATGAGGCAACAGGCAATCAGAGCAAGCCTAGCAGAAGAAACAAGCCAACAGGCAATTACGCTCACTACCAAATTTTAGAACACACTGTGGGATTTAGATAACATAAGCTGAAATATACAATCACCATCCAATTTATTTAAATACCATACGGTTGTTGCACTTTTTTTTTGAAGTACTATGAACAATTCAGATTGCATGAATGTGGAGTGAGTGTAGACGGGACAAAAGTGTTAGGATTAAACTGTGCAACTGCAGTTGCTCTGAAAGAAGTCTGGTAGCAGACAAACCCGAGGACACCAACTGGACTCAGTCAACTTCTGAAGTCTCACTGAGAAAACATTCTGAGAGGTGTGCTCAAGAGCCGGCAACTCGATAGTGCAAGGAAAGAAGACTTATACATGGACAGAATGGCTCCATGCAATAGGAATGCAATAGGGAGCTCTCACCTCAATGCCTTTGTTTAGAGTCCAGCTCAGATTGGAAATGGCCACAAGTTAACATTCAAGAGATATTTAGATGCCTCCATTAAATCATTCTGTAGGTGTCTCTGCCCTTTTGTGGATTCATCCAGAAAGGGTCACCTGACAGACAAAGGGTAGATGCCATTGCCTCCAACAGACAATGGGTATTAGCAAACCCAAGGCCCATCCTATTCTGCACTACACTGGAAGAAAACTCCCGCCCCCTTCCTCCCCCGCCATTGCTCAGCCCAAAAGGCAAGTATCTGTGGAGGCTAGCGCCCACCATGAAGTAACATTGGTCCCATGTCATCTGAGAGTATGGTACTCCTGAGGGCACACTGTGCCAAAAAAATAAAAATTATGCACACAATATTTTAAAATTCTGAAAAATTCCACAAATTATATTTGTCAAATAAATGTGGAGGTTCCAGCATGGCATTGGGGAGCACAGGACAGAAACACCCCAGGGCCCTGCCTCTCTGTGACAGGTGCACCAGATTTGGGTAGGCAGGTTAAGCAAGGCAGGATCCAAGTGTGGAGGGGCTTAGTGTGGGGGGATCCAGGTGTGGGTTGAGAGGGTTCTTTGGGGGGCAATCTGGGTGCGGGAAGCTCAGTGGGGGATCCAGGTGTGGGGGAGATCTGGATGCACAGGGGCTTGTTGGAGAGTTCTGGGTGCAATGGTAATGGGACTCTGCAGGGGGGTCCATCTAGGTGAAGGTGGTTGGGGCTCAGTGAGGGGGGGTCTGGGTGTGTGTGGGTTCAGTGGAGGGGGTCCAGATGCTGGGGGAGTGGGGCTCATTGGGGTGGGGATCCAGGGGCAGCTGGTTGGGACTTGGTAGGGTGGAGATCCAGGTGGCTTGTTAGGGTGGTCAGGTACAGGGGGAGTGGGGCTCTGGGTGCAGGGGGGGAAGTGAGGCTTGCTGGGATGGTCTGGGTATGAGGGGGTCTGGCTGCACGGGGGTTGGGCAGATGGAGAAATAGCTCCCTGTACAGTGATCCCTCCCCCTGCAGCTGAGAAGCTATGGGTGCAGGAAGCACAGGGTTGGGGGAGGGAGTAAGGGAGTTTGCAGAGCTTCCTACAGCCGGGCAAGAAACCTGGGGGTGGGTCTGATGCGGCCCTGGATGCCGTGCAGGGGAAGAGAAAGTCCTGTCCTCCCCAGCCCAGCCAGGAATCCATATAAGGAACCTGAACCAGAATTCACTGAAGTCAAAGAGAATCCTTCTGTTGACTTCAATGAATTTTTGCTCAGATACAAAGGAAACCTTTTTGCACCTCACCATCTCTACACGGGTATTAGTGTGTTAGCTTATGTGTAAAGTAGTTTTAGTTACCCAACTGCTTTCTAAATGAGATACATTGTTCTAAATCCATCAGCCCTATCACCATTTGAAAGTCTCAGAGTTCAAAAACAATTTATATGCACCCAGTTAGGCAACATCTACATGGAATACTTCCTAAACCATATGCAGAACACACCATGGAAATGCAAACCCTTCATGAGGCTGGAAAGAAGCAGCTGACCAAAGAAGGCAGCACACAACCCAAAGAACATTAGCGGCAGAAGGTAAAAATACAAGTTATTTTGGCCAAGGACATGCTCTTGCAATTAGTACCCAGTAATCTCAAAGCCAACAAGACTGGCTTTTAAGGTCTTGAGCGTACAAATGCCCCGTGCCCCTACACCCCCCCAAAGCATAAGCTCTTGCAATTAGTACCCAGTAATCTCAAAGCCAACAAGACTGGCTTTTAAGGTCTTGAGCGTACAAATGCCCCGTGCCCCCACACCCCCCCAAAGCATAAGCTACAGGCAGTCCTCAACTTTACGACGTTCGACTTACGACGAACGGCACTTATGACATTTCCGAACTGACACCCTGATTCGACTTATGACAATTGGTTTTGACTTTATGATGGTCGGTCCCGCAATGGAGTGGATTGCGGTTCCGAGTTACAACATAATTTTCAGGAACCAATTGTGTCGTAAGTCCGAGGACTGCCTGTACAGTAAAGAGTATTTTACTGACTATTCAAAAGGATGGGCTGACCTGACCCTGTCAGGATTCAAAGATGTGATTAAGTGTTCCAAACCTGGTGCTTGTATCTCCAAGCCATCCCTTCTCTCTGCCCTGATAACCACAGAAGCACCTTCACACAACCTGCATGGACTGTTTTGTTCAGGGATCTTGTTAAGCAATAAGATTTTTATAATTATATTTTCAACCAAATGAGAGAGAGAGAGTGTACACAGTGATAATTTGTGTCCATCCTGTTTGTGTCAGCTGCTGTAAATCAGTAGTGACATGCTGTACAATTAGTAACTCCAACACTGGAAAACTGGAGGCATTTTTTAGTTCATATATTGACCAAGCATTGTTATATTCTAATAACCTCTAAATTAAATGGACATGATATTTGGCTCTGTTACTATGTATTCCTTATCTCCTGATCCTTAAAAAAGTATTTAGGATTTTTTCCAGATGCTTGGGGAGCCATTTTATAATCAAGTTATTCCTTTTCTTCTTACAAAAACATAAATGAGGCAAAATCTTTGAGTTATTCATCAGTTCAGCTAACATCTAATGTGTGAAAGACTTATTGGCTACACATTTTTCTGGAGGTCTTAATGTACTGTTATATATTACAACAGCTTTGCAAAACTGTCAAATACTTGGAAACCCAGCACAAAATTCTATTTGCCTGTCCTTTACCATGACAATTGTGGCGGTAATTAAATAAATTAATGAAAGTTAAAGCCAGGCTAGTATACACTAAAGATGAATGCTTAATGTATATACAAGCATTTTTCTGTATCATATGCAACTAAAACTGTGTGTGCATGCTTAGAATATTATTAATACTTCACACAGCAGTCAGAATATAGTTTTCCCCTAATGATCTTAGCTTGCTGCTATTTTTCACAATTGAAAGGAAAACAACAAAGACTTAAATTCTTAGGAAAACAACAAACTTGCAGAAGGGCTTATCTGTGAGTCACCATTATGAGAAAATAAAATATCTGATAATTAACATACAATCCTATTGTCCACTGCTACTTTCTAGATTCCACTCTAACACTGGAGGATTCATTTCAGATGACTGTTTCTAATGACCGCTCCCATTTCATTACACACATGTACTATACCTTGGGATTTCCTCCTCCTTCTTTGGCTGCATACAGCATCTGGAGGGCAGATTCTGCTAGTGTCTTTGTCTGGTCCAGGACAGTCATCTGTTGCTGATGATCTAGCATCTTGGATGCCACACCAACTGCAGCTAAAATCAGGGGTTCAAAGTAACTCGCCAGTTGCGTAACCTAAGACAACAGAGATGATGAAAAGCTTGTGATCCAGTTTCCGAGAGGAGACAACATCCCTCTCTAATTAACATCAAGGAGATCTCTAGCTGTTCTTCAAGCATAATTTGAATAGCACACCTTCATAATGCTTCAGATTAGCATGAAATATAGTTCATTCTAATGTCTTCCTAAGGTATTCCGTCTCTTCTTCAGCTGTGAACGCTGCAATATAGTAATGCTTCCCTCTCAGATGTTCTCAACTTTGCGTGTGAGACTCTGACGTCAGATCCAATTGTTTTCAAAACTGACATGGAAGTCAGACAGTACTTAAGGGCATAAATGAAGACAGTCTCCTCCACCACATGGGGAAGGATCTGTAATTAAACGCTGGAATTTCTCATGTTTGGTTGCAGACAACAGAAAACAGAGTAGAATGTCTTGCACCTGGAATTTCAGAAGAGGTTTATTTGATCTCAGATAGACAGTCTGTATTTTGAATCTTTCAGACAATTACTGTCTCTATGAAGGAACAAACAAATTTCTCTGAAAGCCTCATTTAAGTCTTATCCCAAAAAAGACCTGAATGATTAACATTTTTTAAGATGCTATATTTTGCTGAAGGGCTAATATTGCCTCAGGATATAGTCTGCTGTTCTACCACGAATAAGCAGGTCCGTAAGGGAGTGAAGTGGCCAAATCACATGCTTATACTCTTTAGATAGTGAGCATCAATAGATTCAAGCACGTAACAAGTATAGCAGAGTGGATTAGACAGAAACAGAGGTGTTTCTTATAAATAACATTTAAATGGAAGAATAAACAGTTTCTCAATTGACTAACAAAAACAGTTTGACAGAAGTTGTCCAATAGAGGTTAAATGGAATCAATACTTTGTATATATTTCATTGCAGTACCTCAAGACCAATTCCACTGGTAATTTATTCTGAGCTACCTTATTCTGGTTTGACCTTTTTCCTATACTGAGAGGTACTTCAAAACCTCAAGTAGTCTCATTCCTTCCCCAAGTTACTCAATTAATTCACTGTTGTGCTGCTGAAGGCCCTCCACTACTGGCTGACACACAACTCACCCAAAGCAAATGAGATTTTACTATGTAAAATCTACAACATAAAATGAAAATTTGACAAACTGGGGGCCGCGAGGTTATTATGTGGGGGTCACGAGCTGTCAGCTTCCACCCCCAAACCCTGCTTTGCTTCCAGCATTTATAATAGTGTTAAATATAAAAAAAAGTGTTTTTAATTTATAAGGGGGTCGCACTCAGAGGCTTGCTGTGTGAAAGGGATGACCAATACAAAAGTTTGAGAACCAATACAACATGAATTGTCTTGGTTCCACTCTAGAAGTAATCAAGAAGGAGCAGGCTTTAAATCTCCTAAAAGATTAAAATATTCTGAGGCCAGTCTGACCTCCTCTGTAACAGAGACTATAGGACTTCCCTAAATTAATTCCTGCTGAGATAGGATATTTTTCTAAAAGATAGATTCTATCTTGATTTAAAAATTGCCTGTGATGTAGAATTTATCACAACTGTTGGCAAGGAAGTCAGTACGACTTTGGACCTGCTTACTTCGAGGTAAGACAACACAACACACATAAATAGCAATCCATCGCGCACTGCTGAAACAGCATGTAGAATATAGCACACAGTTCTGCAGTCCTTTCCAGAAATGGAAAGACATTCAAGTGAAAGAACTTCTCAGAAGAGCTATAAAAATGATTAAGTTTCTGCAACGATTGGCTTAGGAGGAAAAATCAGTAGTACATAAAAATATAGTATAATGTAGCTAAAAACATGTTTATGTCTAATTCAGTAAAACATTGACTAAATGGATAATGGTCAACTAATATCTGAAGCCTGGAAACATCTAAGTAATTCCTCTTCCTTATTTTGCTTACAAAAACATAAACAAGAAACAGGATGAAACTAAAGAGAAAGTTAGGCCGAATATCAAGAGAAACTTTCTAAACGTGCGATCTATTAAACGGTGGCAAAGTCTTTCAAAGGAAGCTGTGGAAACCATATCACTTTATTGATGTAAAATGGTGGATGTTCCCACATAGAGAATAGCTGGTTTATTTGGTATATAAAGAACCACCATGCATGGACAGGAGGATGGAGATGGCCATTTAATAGCACACATCTTTTCCATCTAGAGCAGTGATGCTCAGACTGTGGCTCTCTAACGTGTCTCTACAGCTCTTTGGAGCACATGATATCAAAATGCTGTGATTTAATTATTAACCAATCTAAGTTATTAACCAATCAGGATTAGTATCTTATTAACCAACTGTAGTTGATAAAATAATAATACTTGGTCAGTCATTTTGCTGTGAGAATTTTATATATCTAAAAACCTAACTATTTCCCCAGTCAGATTGTTTTAAATATGAATATATAGTACTTTAGTAAATGAAACAATGAATTCACTCTATTGTGGCTCTTTTGGACAATGCTGATTGCTCCTTTAGCTCCTGAACCACTGAGATCTGAGAATCACTGATTTAGAGTCTGAGTTACTCTGAGCCAAAGAAAACATTAATCTAATCATGGTATACAAAGTTGCTATAAACCAAGGCAATATCAAATGCCTCAGTTATTTAATGATTATCCAAAACTAAATAGACAGCAATAGATATCAGGTGTTCAGAAAATCTAGCACATGAAGACAAAAATAAAAGAAATAATTATTTGCTTCTGTCTTTCACATGTTAAATGGGTTGACATATAAAGATTACATTTATCATTCTCAAAATTAAATATATTTCAGAATATGGTAATAAATAATTTCTGAGAAACTGCTAAAACCCAGTACATATAACTTTGTAAGGTGGCAATAGTTGTTTTTTATACGTTTAATATGCTAAACTAAAGCCCCAAGAGGAACAGGTGTTTTGTACACTACAACACACATCTATTGTAGTAGTTTATAGCACAACCTGAGTCCGAGCCTCTCCATAATCTTTCCGTTTTGAAGACAACATTCAGTAGCAAATCTTCACTGGAACTGCAGGCCTGAGCTATGTTTCTTTTACAGTTAACCACATTTGGCAATTTTTAAATTGATACAAGTTGTATTGGCCTTTCAGTAACTCATCCATGACTAGACTTCTAAAGGAAAATTTGGCAGGGCACCAGGAATTTAAAAGGGGTAAGCTACTGAAGCTTGAAAATCAGCTGCACAACATGTCCTTTTTATATCTTAGGTTTTTTATACCGTACATCTGTACTGATATTTTAACACCGATTAGCATTGTTGAGCTCTACTAGTTATGTCAAAGACCCATTTAACTCCTCCTCCCCTCACTGTGGATTGACATACCACCTTTTAATGATTCCACCTGCCAAGGATCTGCATATTTGCTACATCAATCTAAAAATAAACATTTTTGCAATTAAGCAAGTGTTAATGCAATAGACGGAGGTCTTCAAGACGTAATTAGACATTTTTAATAAGTCCTAAAACACCTAGTTATATGCTAAACAGGAAAAGCACTCAATACCCACAGTGTTAGGGATATAAAGAAGCAGACATTTTAAAAAGCATCATTAAAATCCAAAATGAAAAGAACGCAAAGGACTTTTTTTATGAAATAATTACTTTAAAAAGCACTTAAACTTATAAAAACCCTAAAAATCCAGAATTAACTCCAAAGATCAGTCCTCAATTCACCCTCATGTGGCCAGGAATTGAAGCTATTACGGTCCTGTATCGAAGTAGCCCGAGGACAGTGAGCAATCTTGCCTGTCCTGTACTTCGCAATAATTAGGCAAATAGGTTCAAACAATTTTTGCCTCTGATTTACATTTTCTGCCTTCAGGAATCCAAGATCTTTCCCCCAACCCATATTTCCCTGTACATTTTTAGTGTAATGTGAATAAGCTTACAACACACTGTAGCATCTACCGTTGTCTCATTACTGACACAAGACAATTCCATACACTCAAAGGAATCAGGACTTTAGAAATTACAATAAATACAGGACCAAGTACCTTGTGTCCCAGCTGAGCTGCCTCTCCCCGAGCTGCTGTTGCTATGGGATCAATAAGGTGCCCAATTTCCTGAACAACTGATGTCAGCTGCTCCTGTAAAGCCTAACAAAAAGAGACATTGTCAGTTCTTTCCACAGCAATTCATTCACTGAGCCACACTATTTCACAAGATACCCTCATGCCAGCTGAACTGCAAAGAACTCTGTCAAACCACATTCAACAGTATAAAGAGCAGATGCAAACTAGTAAGTTTTATTTACATGCTTGTCCATTTCTCCACATTTATCTTCCCCTCTTGCGGGGTGCCCTGACAGAGGCTGTTTGCTGTACACAATCATGAGGCAAGGCGGAAAAAAAAGCTCCTTCCAGCTCTGGCTTGCAGTGCCTGTTCCTCCATTCGCTTCTAGCTCCAGTAGTAACATGACAAGTGATGCTATTGTTGCCTCTGATTTAATGACATTAGACTGCTCAGAAAAATCACCAGGACTGCTGAGCTAAACATGAATCAGCACTTTCAAGGCAACAGTGCAGCACAAAGAGGAAAGTTTTAATTGTGAACTCCATATACATTGATATGAAAGGGAACGGAAAAATAAGTCATCTCCAAGTAGGAGATATGGACTGGTCTCCAAAATACGTAGTGGAGACATAAGGATAAAGAAGGACAGGTGTTAGAAATGCCAATACTAGAACTATTTCCCTCTAGTTCAAAGGCAGTTAATGCCTTGGTAGCCAGGATTTAGCTCACCCTGCAAAAAACAAGAAATAAAACGGCATCTTTATGATTTGCTTTATTTACATATTGCTTTAAATAAGACTTGGTAGCTTGAGTAATGCTTATTCAAACTTCTAACACTATTAGCAAGGTGCAAAACAGGATGGACATTTTTAACAAGAAGAAAGAGGAATTAAGTTGTTTTTAAAAAACAAACAAACCACTTTTGTGGTAACTTTATGCACTTTTATTTCTTTTGAGCCACTCCAGGAAGATAAAAGTTTTAGTGGTGTATCTAGCAGTGCTGCTTAGCTTGAAAATAAATAACCACTCTCATGTGCAAATGTAAGAGGGCAAATTTGAGAGAGAAGAACTTCATACCAATTTCATTAAAATTGGAAGCAAATGTAAAGCTGTTTTGTGTAGGAGACAGGGACAGTGATAACATTTACTATTAATGAGGAACTTTACTTAAAATATGAAGTTTATCACTCAGAGTGCTCACTACATGCGATGAGTAATTGTTAGCAGCTTTTCTCTCATGAATATATTGAACACTTGCAATGTGGAATGCTTAGCGTGGGACTGTGCTGTCTGCTGTCCAATTTACTCTAGCAGTTGATCAATGTATGATATCTTAGTATTAAGGCACAAAAGCAAATATGCAAAAATGATGTCCCTCAGGCCTGCTCTGATGAGCTGCTAAATCGCATCTAGTCATCCACCCTTAACAAAACACTCGTTTCATCTGCATTTCTGGCTCCCTTGCTTTTTTCCCATCTTACAATCTCACATACAATTTAAGCAAGCTCCATTCCCCTATAGACAAATGTCAATGTCATCCCAAATTTCATTTTGCCTCACTACCTTCCCGATCATAAAGCCCTATTAACACCACCATTAAACACCCCAGATTAGGCCAGAAATCAGTCTCCCCATGAACAAATTTGCAGATTTGCCGTAAGAGCCTTCTAATGGGAAAATTTCTCCCCTGAGGACAGTCTGTGCTGCCTCTACACAGTTCCTAGTTCCAATGTTTTCCTTCTGATATGAAGAAAAGCAAAAGGCAAGTATGAGTGCTTAATTTTACTCAGTTACAGTGCAGTCTGCCTTACCTCAACTGAGATGTCATCCCTTGTGGCCAAGTTCTGACTGACTGCTGCAAGGGAAGCCTGCTCAATATCTCTAATACACCTATTGATTCCATCAATGGAGTAATCACATTCTCTCTGGCCCGGGGCTTTGTCCCTGAAACAAAAGAAGATATGGTAATTTAAGGTTGAAGGAGGTCCTCATTCATGAATTCACACACAAATTCATGTTATTAATAGACCATACACTACAAGTGGGGCAGCAAGAAAGAGAACTAGGTTTGTTGTACCAATAAGGGTTTGAGACACATAAATAGCTGAGATATTCTGGATGTTTTGTGGCATGTAAGTCCTAGGGATTTGACAAGAAAAGGGAGCCTTTAATGAAGCAGAACCATGATACTCTCCCAGGTGAATAAGTAGCTGCACTAGCCACCTCAGAAAAGAGCCCTCCTAAGGTGGCCATGGCAGAGGACTTGAAAAAGGAGGACTTTAGGAGCAACTGAGACAGATGAACAAAGCCTCCCACCTTCTGTTGAATGTAGGGGAGAAAACAGCCAATAGCTCCATGGAGATCTCCTTGGGTATTGGGTAAGTTTTACTCTCAAATGCAAATACATTTTAATGGAAATTAATCTGTGGGACTTTAATCTAGACTGGCAGTTTGTAGTTGAAGTATAAAATCCTGAAAGGACAATATTACCTTAGATGCAGTACACAGCCACCACCAAACAGTTTATTCACTCAGTACCCAGTTCCACTAACAGTTAGAATACATAATGTAATCCCTCTTTTCATGCGTGTTTAAATTTGCATACAAGAGATTTAGTGATTCGTCTAAAATTAAGGTACGTGTGCGCACACACCCACAAGAACAATCTTATAAAGTAAACAGAAAAAAAACTGTAGTAGAGAACAAGCATTCAAGTTATTTTGGTCCTGATATAGCTAAGCACTTCAGAATGTGCTTTGCTGAATCAGAATCCTAGACATCCCATTTGATTTGCCTCAAAATTGTCGTCATTTGTAGGGAATGTTTTCCACGTTCTGCATACTGCTAAGTATGATTTAAATATGTTCCAATTTACATAGGCCCTACCATATTTTCTGCTCTATTTGCTTTAAACTCAATAAAAGGAGGAACTTGGCAAAAGCCCCACTTTCCAGAGCTGTGCAATCATCAATGTAATGATGATTGCGCACAAAGTACAAACAGAGAGACCTTGTGTACCATAGAATGCAATCAATATTTGTCAAACAGACAAAGGCACAAGCTGCTAAGGAATTAAATTTCATTTTCAAGCTTCTAATAACGAATAAAATAATGGAGGGCAATAGACAAAAAATAACTTTCTTACGACAGCTCCCTCGTCCCTTTAACTATCCACGACTTACTATTCGGTATATAGGATAAGAAATATTTGCTCTATGGAAAGCAAATGGCGTTCAAGTCCCTTTATATGGTTTTCATCGATAAAATGACAACGGCAGCATGGGCCATTAGGTACTACCATTTTATTCCACATTACTGGATAAGGTGCTGGGGCATTATGGCATGAGAGTGGAAGATTAAAAAAAAGTTATGACAAAAAACGCACCTAATGGAAGTGATCAGACTCTTAATTGAATCTGAAACCGTGTGCGAATGCCCAGCAAGTACAGACCAAGTAGGTGGGTCCTTTGGATTGATAGCCAGCGAACGAGCAGTTTTGATCAATAAAGCTGAGCTCTCCAACATCGTCTTGGCGGAAATCAGAATTGGCTCCTGTGCTCGAGATCCCTGTGATCAAAAGAGCAGCAAGACACATGCACAAGGAACAGAATTAGAATCTTCTTCAAAACGAGTGGCAAACGCTTGGACTCGCCTGCATGCTAACAAAGACATGTATTGAGGGAGGACTGAACAGAACACTGAAACTATTCATTTCTCCCGCACTAGCAGGAAATGCAGAATATTTGTAAGTCACCCTTGGAACTCGTCAGTTCATTTTGCTCCTGAAGAACTGGTTCTATTTAGGGCATGAGTAGATCATCAAGAACTGCACCATCATGTAATTATTAGATGGGAAGAAGTTACTGAAGTAAATTCACCATAGAAAGCAAAAAAATCTGGCTAATTTTCTGTTTGCTGTACTTAAGGAGACCACTTTCAGATTAGCAAAGGGGATACATTCAAGTGAAAAGAGGAGAAGCCCATGACTCCTGCCAAATGGGGAACTGGTGGGTATAATTTAGCAGCATGATAGCCAGTTGCAACCATTATGAAATGTCGGCAAACATGCCTTCTCAGAGGACTAGTTGAATATGGATTAAAATATTGTAACTGGGTTATAATATTTGCACCTAATATCCTGATTGGATGCCAGCAAGCTAGAAACACCAACTACAACAGGCATGGAGGGGGCAGGCCCCAAGCCTACGGATTACATTAAATCCCACAACATGTGGATCCAGACACATACAGTTTCTGAATCCTCTGCTTCTGCTATCTCCAGTTTGGGATGAGGCCACTGAAAGCAGGAAACAGTTTGCACATCAACTCTGAACATGTCTGCAATGCTATATAAGCTCTGTTACAATGGGATTTTACATAGTTTTGAACAAGCTTTAGTCTCCTGAAACACCCTGAATTTCCTACCTGCATGTTAAATGGTTTTGTTTTGTGAAACATTAACTCCCCACAAAAAAATACTCCTTGTCAGCACAAATTCCCACTGTCATGTAATGCCATTCAGTGCATCCTAGTGATAATGCTGCTTTTGAAACCTGGAAGATTTATGACTTCACCAGATGGCGAGAACTATCTGACACAACGTGCAAGTCATTAGTACCACGTTACAAGCTAGCAACAAGAGATAAAAGTTGTTATCGCAGCATCACAAGGCTTGTCATGCTTGTACGAAATTCAAGGTCAGTGGTTAATGGAAAGAGAGCACTGCCTGCAAGAGGTCCATATGAAGGAACTCAAGGAATGCAGCATGGCAGATGAGATCAGACCTTCAGCTAGGGTAGAGGTTTGAACCAGGAATGTGCTTTTGTCGCAGGGTAGCAGTTTTATAGGGAATGTGGGGAAAAACTGTTTCATGTATCTGTGCTGCAAGCAATTCTCAAGGGAAAAGAAGGAATCTTGAACACAGGACTGGCCAACTAAGAAAAATAAAGGATTATCCACTCCTTTGGTTGACAGTGAATTACTTGTTATTTTAAATCTACATACATTTTGTTCCTGATTTGGGATCATGGGCCCTGATCTTGCAATGAGTTCTGTATGCCCACATGGAACTCAATGTAGGATCAAGTTCTTCAAAGGTTTTCTTGATCACAAAAGTCTAACTCTACATTTTAACTTTGATAATAAAGCTATCTTGAGGGCAGGAGGACACCTCACGTGCTTATTTTGTGATACAAATACAACTCTCTACCTACCTCCATGCTGATCTGGGCTGGTATACTGACAAACTCTGGATTGGAAGCAAATGCTGTCAGATTTTCCACAGCTTCAATCAAAGGTGCTGTCGCAATTCTACACTTATTGCGGTTATCTTCAGAGAAATCACCATCTAGGGCCTGGCAAAGAACATGGCAATTAGTCTCTGGAATGCAAGAGCCCATTTGTAAAGGCTCAGCAGGGTCACATACTAAAGGAAGATGGTTTAATTTATTGTAATTTTCAAAACATTTATAACATTTGAGATTTGCAAATAGATTTGAAAGTTCCTCCAGATACAAGACTGATCTTAACACTTTAGACAAAAGTAGTAAAATTTAACACAGTATGTTTCTTCACTTATTCATACGATTATTGACCCCAAGCCCAAAGCATCTGTGCTGCTATGAAGAACAGGAAAAAAGCTTAAAATAATTGCACTCTGATGACTTCTCATAAATCATGTTTTAATACCTCAAGTCCACAGAGGTGGAAGTTGCTAACAAGTTGATCCTTTTCTTGGAAACTAAAACCTCTAAACCAGACATTCGTCTTCATAGCTGTTATTGACTCATTTTCACATAAGTGAACTCATCTCCTTCATAATCTCACAGGAAATAGCTCAACATGAAAACAGCTTCAGTGTAAAATCATAAAACCAAGTCCTCTGAATATAGTTGTTTTACAAGAATTTTAGCAGCAGGCCACCTAATGGCTTACTGAAAGATTCAGATTCATGATTCCCAGGTTTCTCACAAGCTTCATTCCTTCTCACAAGAAGGGAAACCGCTTCCTACAGGAATTCAGGGAGGTATTTAGAAAACAAATGGTTGACATTTAACAAAAGATAAATATTATTTTAACTTGTATATTTCAACTCTGAAACAAGCTAGTCTCTCTCAATTCTGAATGTTATTTCTGATACACAAGCAGAGCCCCTAAGAGGGTCTCACCAACCTCAAACCCTGGATTCCAGACAACTAACAGTGAGAATTGCAGAGGTCACCTGTTTCATATGCAGCAAGAACATTTAGGCCTGGTCTACACTTGAAAGTTGTACCAGTGTTACTATGCCACTTAGGGTATGATGTTTTACCGATATATAAGTACAAGCTCAAGTGTACACATGCCTATAAGCATAGCTGATATGCTCTAGGAATTATTTTGGGGAAGTTCTATGGCCTGCGCTATACAGGATGTCAGACCAAATGATCACAATGGTCCTTTCTGGCCTTAAAAAAGAACGGTTACTTACCTTCTGTAACTGTTGTTCTTCGAGATGTGTTGTTCACGTCCATTACACATTAGGTGTACGCACGCCGC